GCTGGTATTGTCTGTAGGACTGCCGCTCCACGGATCTACCGTACACCATGTTCCCCGCTGGAATGGAAATAAACTGAATCATGAATTCAATAATACTAGTTACTGTATCCATGCTGCTGAAGAAAATTGAGCGTAGAAGAATGTATAGTCCTTAATGTCATTAAATGATGAATGTCAAAGCAAAATATGTTGATCAAACCAATTTTTATTGCACGAAATAAAAAATAGCCTAATATTTAACAGTCGGCCGCTGGACTTAAACAAATAAATTAAAACAACACAGATATATTAAATGAACTGTATTTTATTTGACTTAAATACATTCTCTTATAATTTATCTTGATTAGGAATGTAAGGGTTTGTTCCAGTTTGATTTTTATTCTGTGCAAACAACATTGTTAGTCAGGCTTGAGCATATTTGGACTGAATTTAGTTTAAAACTATTAATTATCGCCAGAAAAAACATTTTATATTTGTAGTGTTTATTGCGAAGCAATGTTGAATTGAAGTTAATCTAATGCAAACTATAATCACCACCAAACTACTTTTAATTTTCAAAGTGTGATTTGCTTTATAATTATTATAAAAAAAACTACAGTTACTTATATGGTAACTCATAAAGTACAATTAAGCACAGGTGCTGTTTTATAGCCTATATTCAGGTTTATGGCTTGCATTTTATACCACCTGTAATATCATATTGTGGTGAAGGTTAAATTGATTATTGCAGTATATTTCAAGTTATGACCCTAAATAATATTTTATGCATCTCATACACATTGATACCATTATAGACTGATAGAAAAACGTCTGTTACCTGGAATTAATACTAAACATTCCAAAATCGCACATATCACTTTGTGTACATCCTATATACTATTTTACTGTATTAATTTGTTAGGTAATTTTGTCAAAACGAATATTAGATACTTAATACTCTAGTTTCGTACTATATTGCCAGGTATTTTAATTAGTTTTTGGATTCATTACTTCTGAGATAATTGTTCCTGAGTTTAATTCCACTCACACTATTCACTTACATACTTGATGCAAGCAAGCTTAAGCTCAATCAAAGGAAGGAACTCATTCTGCTATCAGTGAGTGAAATTTTGAGTTGGTTAGATAACTATGACGATGAGAAGTCTACTTGCAGAATGCCATTGTATAAACATCTAACTTATAACGAAATAGAAAGGTAATCCCACAAATTTGACCCAGTTTGAGACGACATCTATGTGGGAACGATTTCTAGGACGAAAGGTTCCGTTGTTTGAACCGGTAACCAGAACTCGTCTTCTTAGTCTAAGATCGCTTAGCATTACTGTTGCAGTCAGCGATGTTAGAGTTTTGTCTAAGTACTAGCACACTTTCTACAAACTGTATGCAAAATCTCTGAATGTTCACTAGTTAAGGCTAAGTGTGTCTCAAACCAATTGGGTTCCTTAATGATCAAAATCTCATAAATTACAGAATCATGCTTCCTTTTGAACTCTTAAGCCTACTTGTTAGTAAATCCCCCCATTAATTTTTTTAAATTTGCATGGTTGATTTTTTTCAATAAAAATCTTAATTTTGTACACTTTGAACAGATTATTACCTTTTTCATTTCCATTACACACTAGAGGACCCATTGCTCCGCAGCGTTGATATGGATATCATGTCCGGGAAATAATCAAATTTATGACTTTTTATTGAGTAATACAATATCTTGAACTTAACTTATTCAAATGATCAATAGTTCAAAAAGCATTTAACTAACTGATTATTTTGAGTCTAAAACATATACAAAAGCATAAACAATACTGGAGATATTGATTTTTAATCATAGAAACCCCCTTATAAAAAATAACAAGCTGCTATACCCGTGCTTTGCAACGGGAAGAAAATGTGACCTAGAGAGCTATTAAAGTAATTCTGATGTGTTTTTTTTAAATACGGCAACTCTATGATTTAGTTTGAAAATATAAACTGATTTAAAAGTGTAAACCTCCTGTGTCAAACCCCTACTTTTTATGTTAATAGATCCAAAAGAATATGATATGGTGTAGCAATAGCATCAATTGCTTCATATTGATGCTTCACAAATGACATATTTTACCATAATTCTTTACCTTTAGTCAAAGCCTCTTTACATGTAGCTTACTATATAAATTACAAAATGAAACTTTGAGCAATACTTTACAAAACCTATACAACCTTTCTTTAAAACCAAACATAACCCTCCTAAATATACACAAAGCGTCACAAACATCTTTTTCGAGAAAATAAACAAACACCAGTTCATTGTACCATATTGTACTAACCAGCTGTTTCATTAACTAAATTAAATTAAATCATGTAAACTTTGGAAGCATGCCAGGCGTAGCCCTTTGCAAATCAGCCCTTAGGAAAATCCCTTTACCTTTCCCCCCTTTCCCTTAGGAAATTTGTCCATATAAATACTTTTCGGCAAATCTACACACCCTAAGCTTAATTTTGATGTGCCATATATGCTTATTTTTATTTGGTAAATGGCCTTAACAGTTTACATAAAATTTGATTATACCACTTTAATAATATAATAGATTTGTTTGATTGTTGTTCACCTTGCGTTTGCTTAAAACTCGTCCCTAATAGCTTAAACAAAAGCCGGTATTTCACTAAAGGTTCTTAGACCAAAATGTATAGGATTATATAATCATAAGTGGCGAAAACATCTTAAATTGAAGTGAGAATTCGAATATAAATCGAATTTATGTTTTTGGTTGAGCAATACAGTAGATAAATATATGACTAAAATTTAAATAAAAGTAATTTATTGAGTCTTATAGTCTCTGATTGCATTTATATAAAATAAACTGTGGAAGTGTGGCATGGAATGTAGCAGTATTCTGGACTGCAAGAATGCAAATCACACACGTCATTTTTGTTAAGTAACATGTTAACATACCAGAAAATTTTGAAGTTAATTGTCTAAGTAGCCTGTAGATAGCCTTCAAATTCTAAACTGCTAGATCGATCTTAAGCAAGATCCGTTCAAGACCCAGATTATATTTTTCTCATTCACATACATCTACGGATTAATTAGCTTTCTAACAAAATTTCGGTGTTGGATATTAGTATTAACAAGACACATTTGGACTGTTTCCTTACAACAACCCTGCAAATGCCAGTCGTATTGAAATACACAAAAATGTTTATTCTGTGGTAGTACATATTTTGGGATCTATGCCATATAAAACTATCATCATAAGACGCAACAATACTGACTACCCTACAAATATCCATTAAGTATCCAAAACTACCTTTGCTCATGATGGGCTTGAAGAAGTACGAGAACGCGTCGCGAAGCATATTCCACACGCTGTCAACAAAGGACGCTCTACCAGCTGATCCTGCGTCCTGACAGCTGATGGTAGAAACAGCTGAGAGGAGCAGCAGTAACACCAGCGCGGGAACTTCCATCACACTGACTGCTGGGCCTTGACCTACACTGTCATGGAAGGTAGACATTGGGAGCGATGGAGGAGTGTGGGGGAATCGTCTTTTATTTTGTTTGGTCCCATCAAATTCCTCCTAGTAGTGTGAGAGTTACAACACCAAGGTCATTTTAGTTTTTTTGTTGGGGTGTTATTTATTTATTTGCTTGTTATGTACTATAGATTGCCAACAGGTGTTTTCTTCAATTTTAATTTTAAAGTAGAGTTAATAGTAGTTTATTTAATAGGCCAAAATTTATATTTCATTTAATAAAGTGTTTAGCGAATTTCCCTATAGGGTAGTAGCTATTACCGTAGGTGGCAGGTAAGACCTAGGCCCGGGACTATTTACTTTTTCATTGAGGCCAGAAAACACTATTCGTTTAAATTTTTATACTATGTATGTCCTGTATGTGTGTCCGTGAACGCGATAACTTGAGTAATTTTTGTCCTTGATTTTGATGAAATTTGGTTTAATGGTGTAAGGCGGAATAAACTTGAATGATCGGAATATGGGAACGGGGGTTCACGGGAGTTTTATGGGGTCAAAATTGGGTTTTCTCATTCGAACCTTAAAACGTAAAATTTTCCATTTTCTCTCAAAACCTTTTTAAAGAGCTTAAAAAACAAGGAATTTAGTTTATCAAAGTGTTTTTGTACGGTTATTGATAACAGAGAAAATTTAAAAATATTGTAAATTACCTATGTTATTCTTATGGGGAATATTGTAAAATATTGATGTTTGCTTGTTTATGGATATCTTTTGATAAAACTTGGCAAATTTGTTTTTTTTTTACTAAACTATTAATATTTTACGAAAAACACTCTTTATTAGTTTCCTTGTAGCAGCAAACCTAGGTACTCGTTAAACCTAAACCGTTAAACTCGTTAATGTAATTTAAATAGATTTAACTGAAAATTGATTCATACAAATAGAAATTCGCTTAGTCGGCAGGTTTCTGTGGCGGGGGTATTTAATAGTTTTGCTTGACATCTATCAATATCTATTTTAATCGATGATGTATTGTTAACTGGGATTCTGTAATAGATTATTTTCTATGTTTAATTTATCAATAATTAAATATACTTATTTTACGTATAAAAAGTGTTGTTAACAGCTAGGATCCTTCAATAGACTGGTGTGATCACGTGAAAATCTTATGTTGACAATGAAGGCGTTAAGATTTCTGAATTATTTAATCAAGTTTTTTTTGTAAGTTAGGATTTTAATTATAATGGTTGGGTCCCTTCAATAGAATAGGATTTATTTATAGTTTATTCGTGTTTTGTTAATAACTGGTTGATAGGTCAATAGTACAAAAAGTTATCATTATACTTTTGAAGTCTCAAGTTTTGGTAATGACTGTAACATATTTTGTTAATGAATATATTTCCCCAACAAACTCAAATTTTAATTTCAAAGTCTCGCACATTTTCAGAGTAGCCTATTACTGTGATTTACAATCTTAAATCTGATTTAAATCTTTTTTCAGTCTCATAGCCTAGAAAATCTGAACTGTTGAACTGATATCAAAACTAGCTCATCAAAATGTACATGTGCCAACCATGACAGATGCCATAATCAAATGTAGAAGTCTATACCGTACTATACCTTACTATAAACAAAGCTCGACAGCTCCAACAACAAGTGTTCTGTAGTTACATCAGCTTGTACTAGGTTTTACATCAAAAATATGGGACAACGGCACAAAGACTATTTTAAACATGTCTCTAAAAGTAGGATTTTAAGACTGCAAACTTCAACAAATATTGTAAAAACATTGTTTTGTCATTGTTGACGTTGTCATTGTTTTAAAATTATTAACATTTTTTATACACTTTTTACTTGATTTAGATTTAAACTCGTTTGTGTCATAACGGGTTATAATATTTTGTTAAAATTAAATGCTTGTATAATAATTTTTTTTTTGCCACACTACACTGTTTTAACGAACTTCCCACACAAGGATTTAGTCCAGAAAACAGCTGTTTGCCGCTAGCTTAATGAAATGTGGTTTTATTATGTACTACAGTACTGTAATGAGTTTTTACCGGACACCAACCAAGCTGGTTATATTTGGCAATGAGTGGTTATAATCAAAAACATAACCATGAGTAGTGATTTGTTAGTCCTTTAGTTGGTGGGAATATAAGGATTTGTACAGTGATTTGTTATTGTTAAGTTAGCATAGAGTAGTATGGCGTAAAAGTAAAATATTGTACGTCACTCGTCCAAAATGTATTTTCCGGACTCATATGGTAATCCCGCACACATATTCAACTTTGTCTGAAACAGGAACGACCACTACACTCGTCCGGTAAACACCTATTTTCAGGAGTAGTAACGTAATACTGTATACTATTACTGGTTACCCGTCATGTTACCACCAAATTGTCTTTCTCCGTAATCGTTTTTAATGGTTCAATACTTTCTTATAGTTTGTGATTTGGAAGTAAAAGGAATAAAACAACTATAGCAAAATAATTTATTAATATTACAATAGTGACAGCCATTAGAAAACTAACTTAAAATAGCACCCTAATGCTACTCTAGGAAACTATAGGAGCTACATATTGTATTTCTCTAACTCAAAATGTACTAAAATTACTGTACAAATTACATAAACATGACATAAAAATAGTAAAAATACATATTTTACATGGCAAATCCAAGCTTCACATAAAATTTTAGAAATTGTACATCAATAAAAAAATGTTAAATATGTCATGTTTGATGAACTGGTTAATCTAAAGATAATATTTCATTTGGTAGTATTTTAATTTAAGATGTTTTATGTTTATTGTCAAAAATATAGTTACATCATGCAAGTATACACTTTTTATTGGCTGTATTCCCAGTTATGATTTTTTCTTGGTAAATTTGTTGTTGAAAGATAGCCTGAGTTCAAATCAGTACTTTATTGCTACAGTTTCATTCCATCAGAAATGTTTTGTTCAAAAATGTTTTCAAAAATAAATTAATCTCAACAAAGTTCACAACCTAGAAAATAAACTACCCGATTAAAAAGTTTTCTCACTAAAACCTTTGAGAACTCTTTTGTTTGTAGCAAAAATGTAGAATAGTACAAACAACGATTACCTTACTGTTCATCTAAGGCATGCAAGAAAATAAATAAAATACTTAGCACTAACAATAACTTTTTAAGCTGCAAGAAACAAAACCAAACTAACTATATTTACACAATAACTATATAGGACCAAGAATGCTAGTCAACGAAAAATGGTAAAAATATCACATAGTTGGTCTTTGGTAGGAACTTAAGTCAGTAAGTACTCCCTTACAGTAAAAACTTTGGACACTTTTTGAACACAGTAAAACACAAGTGTGTCTTTTACAGCTTATTTCAGTACTAAGTTAAACAAAATAAAAACAAATGTGATGTCGTATTTGCTAACAAGCATTGGTCCTGTTCCATTAGGAGTCCCCTTCAGGCTCTCCTTGCTCTGTGGACAACTGTTGAGGGAAGAAGCTTCAAGTTTTGTAAAGTTTGGAAACTTGAACACCTGTGGTTGCTGTAACACAAAAGTACTGTTTAATAGTTTGTAATGAAACTTGTGACACATTTTAAATAGATACCTTTAATAAAGCCTAAAGAAAAAAATATTTTTTATGTTTAAATAGGACACTGAAACAGCATTATATCTCTAACACACTTAGAATTAAAATGCCCATGAATAAACCTTTGGGTATCCTAACACTGAAGTAGGTAAAGGTTATGTTCCATAGAAAAATGACCTCCATCAAGCTTCTTAGTTCTTATAGGTAATACTGTATGTCTTTTAAATTTGTAGTATAAAAAATTAATTGTAATAGACTTTCTGAGCTTCTGAGTTGAAAAATAAGGACTCGTTCTATATGAAACCACAAGGGTTTGAAGAAAATGTTTAACCCTTTTACCTGATTAGCTTGTCTATAATGGTTAAATAAATTAGCTGTATTAGGTGATGTCTTATGTGTTATGTAGGTGCTTGGATGAATTTCACATTGTCCTTGCTGCTGGCCTTTGTTGTAGGCTTTTAAAGCACAGCGCACACTGAGTCAACTACAGCCTTTTTAAAATGTTAAAATACACATAATAAACGAAGCGCACAACACGGGTCCAGCTCGGCACGCCCTATACGGAGAAATTCGGCTTCAGCGATCCGGCGTTGGTTGGTCCTAGGAGCGACCAAGGCCTCCTGCCGAATCGTCAAACTGAAAATGTATTGACGATTTTGATAATCCTGATGTTTATGAAACTTGGAATGTGTGTGTTAATGATCCTTATATCACTAAAAACCTCCACCAGTTGTAAAATACAGTAGACCCCCTCTTATCCGGACACCTTTTAACCGGACTACACTCGGTGGAAATGACATCTCTTTAACCGGACAATTTTTATCAGCATATCGTTTTAATTGGACTAGATTGGCAAGAAGTGGGCGGTAGTGAAACGACTGTTCTCGTTGGAAAGATTTGAGACCAGTAATCACATGTCTAAATACGTAATAATCATTATTGGCTTATACAGTGCATTTAAACGGTCCATTTTAACGAGTATTTGGGGACGTCGGTTTAACCGGGAAACCCGTTATACGGACTGGCCTTGGTCCCGAGAAGTCCGGATAAGAGGGAGTCTACTGTATGTTGAAATTGTAAAATTGTTCAATTGTTAACAGCACCTAATTTGGAACATTCCTGTAACAAAGTTTTTGTCACTTTTGGAGATATGTAATTTGGTATTCAGATGTTTCAGATTTTTTTAGGCAGACCGTGTGCACTGACAGCAACGCTAGGCTGGTGAGCGCGATGATGTGACGTATTTCCGGTTGGTGTCGGATGGAGAAGGCTGGTGCAGTGCGCAGGTAAAATGGAGCCATGTAAGTAAGGCCGAGCCGTAGTCGACTCAGTGAGCGCCATGCGTAAATGGCCAGTGGCACTCGCCGACATAAAAAACTAATGCTTACCCAAATAATTTTCTCAAAACATTTCTTCATTTTTATGCCAGCGATTAGCGATTATTAGCGATGATACCTATTAAACTAATTAGAAACTAGTAGGAAAAAGATGCCATGATGGCTTCCAAGCTGATTATAAAAGAAAGACGGTAGATACAGATTATGTTAAAACCATGCCATGTTGGTTATTTTAAATCTGGGTGATAATCCTGTTAAGCTGTAACATTTTACCATTGATTATTGGCATACCGGTAGTTAAACGTTTCATCATAGAATGTATTCAATTTAATTTAATTCTTTTAGACAGCCACGCACATTTTGGTTTATATTTTAAGCTGAATATGATTGAAGAGTGATTTTAGAATGGAGTGAGATGATCTGTGAAGGAATATCCAGGAATATGGAGAAAAAACATTTATTAAGATCCAATAATCAAGGACTGCTCAAAGCAAGATCATTACCATAAGATTTTTTTGATAGTCATTTACCAAGATATGATTTAACATCAATATTAATCTCACCGTTTGTAGCGAGTCGTTGTAGAGTCTACAGAACGTCATGTGTTTCCCGTGGTACATTGTGGTTTCTATGGTGTCTGTGAGCAACTGTTCGCTCCAAGGCATCTTGTGAAGATGTCCCACAAAGCTTCGGTTGTGGAACTCCTCGGGTTCCTCAATGATCAAGTTGTCAAACAGACTCGACTCTCCTCCACCTTCAATTATGGAGAAGTCCGCCATTTTCCTCAAAGTAGAGATTGCCTCTTGGTTTGCAGCTTCATCAACCTCATCGTCCATCGAAAGTTTTGGGAAAGTAGGAGGAGTTGTCGACACGGTTTTCTTGATTATTCTGAAAATCATTGAGGTTATTTTGTATTATTTATGAATACTAATTATACTTATTAAACTTTGTGAAAGAAGATTTTTAAGATCTTTACCAATCCCATATTGTATAAAAAGATTAGATTTTGTAATATTTGTAACAGCAACAGCCACTTCTGAAGTTTTGAGGACGCTATAGTCTACCCTCAAGACATTGTAAATAAAAGGTCTTAATTATTGTTGGACTAGGCCTATACACACTGATTTGTTTTATTCATAATTTTTCCCTATGATAAACGAGTATGGTAAATGTTATATCTAGGAAAGAATTGATATATTGTAAAACCATTAGATTTCTAGACTCTCAGCTAACTTTTAAAGTGATTGATACTCACTGGCTGTCTGTCAATCGAAGGAACATTTGCTCAATGGTGCTCATGTTGTAATGATAAAACTTGTTCACTCCAAATGTTTGGAAGAAGAAGTCGACAGGAGTCATGCTAAGGCAACTGGCAAGTGGGGATCGTGGATAATATGTGAGGAAGCTGAGGCACATCTCTTGTTTGGTTGAAAATCCTCCCTGCAAATAGAAATATATTCTTTCTTGAATACTGTGTAGTGTGTATGACTATAGAATGATGACAATTTATGTACTATCTTCCTAGAAATCATGACGTGCTCTATATGTAACCTTTATCTTTCTACAATCATGGTAGAGTCTGAAATGTTGATCATACTTGTGCTAATTTGTAATTGTTTTGTGCAGTGAAATGTGAATAGTCTATTTAACCATTTGATTTCATTTAACTTGCTTTTACTGGATTAGTTATACAGTTAGAGTGATATAAGAGTGATAAATGGCTTGGTGTTTGACTTTGAGGGATAGATTACAGTGTTTAGGTTTCCAACATCTTTGATTGGTAGACCAATTAATAAATGAACAGTTGATCAATCTTTTTTGATACACTTCTCTTTTATAACATAGGGACATCTGGAAACCTGGAGGACTCTAATCGGATTCATTTTTATTTGAAACAATTAAACAGCTTTCTCATTCGCTGAGTCAAATTAGCATCTTCTGTTGATCTTCTTCCTTTAATAGAAGAACCATTCTGTGAAACTATTTTCTCAGATTATATTTCATACATCAGATTCACTCATTGCCTTACTAGACACTGCATTTAGAATATATATAATTTTGATACAGCACTTCTGGTCTACTTACAACAGTCGGACGATTTCTAGATTCAGTGTTATATACACATTCAGTGATTATTTCATCTCCTGGCAGTATTTGTTTTTCTTCCAACAAGACCCTGGACTGCTGGTAGTTGAAATCATAGGTTTTGTCCTGAAACATGAAGAATATCTTTGAATAAAAATTGTAGAATAAATTTGGGTACTGGGCACCTACTATCACAACCGGTACCGATAGCTACTATCACAAAATGAGGAGTGATTCCAACAGTTGTATATCCATTACAAAAAGAAAGTGACTACTGTCTTTCAAAACAAATTATACAGTAGAACTTTAAGTCTCTCATAAAAATTATTAAATAAGACTTGTCATTAGGGTTGACTTGGTATCAGGATTTGTAAGAGAATGTAATTAGGGGTAATATTAAATAAAGGGTATTTGAAAATGGTAGACTTGTTATCAAGTTTGTTATGAAGGGGTTCTTTATCAAGGTTCCAATATATTATGTGTCCTACTGAAGTATGCTACACGCTATGTAGCTTTATGTCAAACTGAAGTACCGGTAATTGTAAATAAATTGAATAGAACATGAATAAATAGTACATAAAGCCATAGAAAAGATGTAGTGGTGGGAAGTTGGAACCATTTGACAAAAAGATGTAACCTATAGTGTACAAACATATTGGGGCACCACAATCAAATAAATATAATATAGGTACTATTTAATATGATTAATATATGAAATCTTAGAGAGGTATCAAATAGTTTATTATTCATGGTAATTGTAATTGCAATATCAATCAAGGGGGTTGAACAAATTCACACAAATATGGTCTCTAGTCGGTTTGAAATCTAGTCTTAATAAAACTTAATAAAACTCTTTTCAAAGAAAGGCAGTTTTATTTTAATCACTATAAGAGAAATCACACACAACAGACTTTCAAAATTGTTTAAACACATTTTAGTTTACAAATCCAAACAGCAAGTTTATCTCGATGCCATACCTGTGCTATTGGTGGAAGCTCAACCCCGTTGCGTACATGTCTCAACTTGATCTCTCGTCCAGCTCGGTGAGAATGTAACAACGCTGAGACCACATTGATCTCCGAAGGTAGAGTCTGCAACCAAGACAACAATTTAATTCTTTTAACAGATGTGATGTGTGGATTGAAGTACGGTACGTACACAGGTGAGCTAGAATTTATGCTGGTAAATGGGACGTTATCTTCCTTGTTTACTGCTATGCCAAAAATAATCTCACGGTTGACAATGTACCTGCAAACAGTAGAGATTGACTGGTTATTCTAATGGGGAGCCTAGATGATAAAATTTTAATTGCTAGCACGATTGTTACAAAGCTGGTAGAAAGGTAACCAGCAAGTGCACCTGCGCAGTATGCATCTGCTACCATTCGCCTATTCCATTCAGTATATCTCACCGCTATTCCGTTCACCGAAGCTATTGGCATAGTGTGTTGCGTTTATTTTGTGCATTAATTATCATAAAAGTAATCATTGTTTGTTATCCTTTTGGTTATGTTTAGTAGCTTGCTTGATGAAGAAGGACGTGATTTATTTAAAAATTGTCTTTATATTTTTGTTTTCTTGATGGGGTTGGATATGGAGAAAAATAATTTCAGAGGTATTCCACAGAGTCCCATTCTGGAGCCAGGTCCACTCTCATCAAAACTATCATGTTTTGACTGATACGAGGAACAAAATAGTGAGTCAATATCAAAATAATCACCCGTTTCTAAGTTTACTGGGTGGACAGCAAACTCACAATCATCATTAAATAACAAAAACCACTTAACAGCCCTACTTTCGAGCAACAACATTGAATCAGGTCCTTCGGTCCTTCCATATTGAATACAATCAACTGGGCAAGTAATCATACACAAGATGTTGTTGTGTGCCCCACCCATTCCGGCCAGGTACTCATAGTAAGAGAGTAAGCTACCATCCCGGACTAGTGTGCATCCTGGCTCTCCCCTGTGTATCACTGCATTTATCTATTGGGGGGATGTTTTGCGTTCATAGCTTCAAGACAAGGTACATGTTTCTCCGAGTGGAGATAAACCACTGTCACTATTTGCGGTATCAAAGCTTTTTTATCTGCCAAACAAAACCCAATTATCTTAACACCCTTTTCAGGGTTGATTTAAAAAAAGCATACAAGTATTCATTCTTTTGCAGGCTCGGGCCACTAAATCCCTGAGGACTTGTCTAAGTGGTTGTCAAAGTGCCTTGGTACAGTATGCCTATTGCTTGATGATAATATTCACCTTCACTCCAAACGAAAGGGCTAGGTAAAAGTCTTGGATACAAACGTTTGTATGGATAGCATTGGTTACATGGAGTATGGTGTATCGATATAAATACGACAACATACCAACAAAGTTCCAGAGTATCACATTATGATGGTGACACATTTATTTGCACAACACAGAGAAATAAGGTACCGTACAGAGTAAACTTGCATGGGATAACCATGCGCTCTAGTTTGTTGAGCTGGAAATGCAAGGAAGAACCTGAGTGGTAAACACTGTGCGGAAGTTCCGATCACACAGGGCACAGAGTCTTCCTCCCCCATGAGCGTTGTAGTACATAGTACACAAGGGTGAGGGGGGCGGGTTGAACTTTAGACACCAGGGACTAGTGTTAAACACCATTTCAGTGTACCATTGAATGTTTCCTCTTTACTTTACTTATCTGTGGCTGAAAAAAAGGTATCTGAGACTTCAATAGTTAGCATTATCAGAAACTTTTAAATAATGACTAATCCTATATAAATCCAAAATGTAGTCTTTATTTGATAACTTGTTGGTCTCTACCAAAAATTCTATTATATTAACTTTTCTAACCTCAGCAACTAACTGTGTGTCTACTGACAAGTAACTATCGGTACTACACTAAGTACAGGGAAGAGATTCGTCTTACATGAAGATAGAGTCGTCAACCTCACAATGAGTGTGTTGTTTAATCCAAGTCTTGTAGTAATCTTGCATAATAGACATGTCCTAGAGTAACCCAACAGTTTGAACCTTGATAAAATACGGCGGCTTCCCACTAAAATACTTACAGAGTGTGTACAGTGGAAGTCACAGTAGCCAGCTGTCTTGTAGTTGGTCTGGTAAGGGGGAATCACTTGGAGAGGAGAGATGATGATCCCAGTCACAAGGATGGCTCCATCGTTGGCTCGCAGCTTGTCTGTGTAGAATACCCGCAGACCTGAACTGTCTACCACTGGAAAATGGAGAAAATATTGTTAAATGTATGGTTGTAGGAGAAGATTGAAAATTTTAACAGGCTGGTACTCTCACAGGATAAATTTCTTCAATATAGACTCAAATTACTTATCTAAACTAGTCACAGTAAGATCGGATGAGCGGAAAGGTTGGATAATGTGGAAAATAATGAATGAAAAACCTTTGTGTACCTAATTAAATTAATAAAACCTTGGTATTAATATAATTGTACAGCTTCAAGTTGATTTTTTTTACGAGGTTGGTGGCCTCTTTTAACCTTGCATTTGCCCGTCCACATAGACTAACTGCCCGTGCGTGGAATGTATCCAGCAAAACAAGGGGTGAGCTGGTACAGTACAAAGGTGAACTGTACTGATAAAATGTTTTCGGCAGTGACCAGGATCCAAACCCATGACATCGCTGCCTTGGGCCCGAAGTCCGTTACACTACTGACTGAGCCATCAACTCATCTAAACCATTAAATTTTCATTAAAACCATTAAATTTCTAACCCAGTAAACACCCATACAAAATAATCAACAAAATTAAAACACCACTACTGTGACTGTAAAAATTATATATTGCAATATTGCTCAACTCAGACATGACTAATATATGAGGGAGAGCAGGAGCGGTATGAAGAGTCAAGTAACTACTTAATAGTCAAATGCAGATGTCTAAAGCTTTTGGCACTAAAGAGCTTCTAAGCTCAGACAACAGTGGGAGAAGGACTTTTTTTTACACACCTGCTGTGTAACACATAGTTATACCAAAAAGAACAGAACACAATTTCCAGGGATTTAATCTTCCACAGGAAGGCTTGGAGAACTTATGGATAATCAAGACACTAATTTACAGGTAGTTCCAGCTAAGTTGGCACTTGACCGATCGATAGAAATTCTCTACTAACATATGTCAAAAACATTTTCTGCAGTCATGCTGGTAGCATCAACTGTCCTCGTGGCCCACGTGAAGGCTCTGGAATGGATGAAAACACTGAATGCTTTTAATTATGTCTACTTTAGTTAAAAGTTAGGATGTTGAACACTTACACTTTTATAACAGTTCCGCAACACAAATTGTTAATAAATTTAAGCTTACCCATTTTTTTATTAGGTACAAACAAAATTATTTACAAAAAAAGATACATATTCACATTGTGATGCTAGCAAAGCTGACGACTTACTAATAAAGCAGAGTGTTTAGGTATTCCCCTGGGTTTTTATAATACCACACCGTATTAGTCATCTCCTATTAGTTTAGTATGATGTTAGTCATCGTTTGGAGGCACCAACCCAGTGAGTCCGTAGCGGAATGTTTGCAGAAAGATCTTTGCCTAGCTTCCACCCATTGGGCCTACGCAGTGGCACGCCAGGCCCAAGTGCCAGCTTAGCTGTAACTACCTGTACTATGCAAACTCATACTTTGAGCTCTCAGCACTAACACAATAATTTGAATCTCACTAAAAATGGGATGCCGGTACTTATTTTTGGAAATACTATTATGTAACATTTTATTGCCTGTAAAAATTAGGATTCACTCCATGGTAGAATTAAGTGTTGTTTAGTCCTGGTGTCTAGGGCAAAGTCCTTCACCGCCCCTTTCATGTACCACAACAGTCACGGTGGAAGAAGACTTTGTGCCTTGTGTGATAGGAATTTCTGCACACTGTTTGGTTCCTTACTTTCCGCCCGGCATAACAGAGCATAAAGGATGTCCCATAAGCATGTTTTGTCTGTACCTTACTTATCTGGCACTGTAAATAACATATAAAATCTATCATTAAGTTACTCAAATAAGACTTACCTTTCTTCAGCGTAGGATTATCATAATGTATCTCCAGCATGAAAAATGTTGATCTTCTATTTTCTCCGATCGGTATTCCAACATGGTCAGGGAGGAATTCACCTGAAAGAATTACAGTTTAAGGTGCGTGTGAGTCTAAGATGTAAAATAAAATACATCTCATTATTGAATATCTATTTTTAAAGTTAACTTTGTATTTTTTGGAATTACTGTTATAGTCACATTCTGAACACCAAATTTTGACTGGACCTCCAACTAAGAGGACCAATCAATTAGATTTGGTCACAACAGAACAGGATGTGTATTTCAAGGGGCCAATAATTAATTGGAGGGTGAATGAGCGAGTACAGTAGATGCTATGATGATAGCCTTGTTACTCACTATGATATTAGCCTTTTCTTTGGTCAGCTTTTTAAAAGCCCAATGATCAAGTACAGCTGAGACCAGAACCATAAAAAAGCTTCTACCTTGAGGATCAAACCAGTAACCTTTTTATTACCATGCAAGCCTTTAATGGTATATGGAATGCCTCTTAGATGTTCCATCTATATGGACCGTCTGACCATAACAAAAACTATAGCCAGTCAAAGATTGCACTAGTGTCTAAAATTCTATTTTCAGATAGTTTCTACGCTATATCATACAATAAAGTCATCCTACCAGTTTTACTTGTTTAAAACTTCCGCATACTCAACAAAAATTAGTCATTATTTAAATCAGTGCAATCTGTCGATAGCTCAATTCAACTATGTCCATTTTGATAAAAAAAAAAAAAAAAAAACAGGTGACAACTTTAAAGCATCCACTAGTTTGGCGCTCTCCAATCTGATTCGTTCTATTCAGTCTCAGACTGTGTCCGATGTCTTCCGCACTTTTTAAGACCTAGTGGTCTTACAGGCTCCTTCAGTAACGGAAGAAAAATTATATGTTTCAGGTTTTAATTTGTTAATTTTTGGTGCTGGAGTAGTAAAAGAGAATATTGTCCATCTGATGGTTCTTTATTTGCATTCTCTTTTTTTATAATAGTTGGCCCACAATTTGAGAGCAAATCACTAGTCGAATCCATAGAACTTGCATCACTGAAAGCATCGGAATATTTTCAGGCTGCTAGCATCACCTAATGAATAAAGAAAGGGATAACCGAAAGTTTGTCTACACTTATGTTACACACAAAGCTTGACAGTGACTAAACTAGGCTAGTGTGCGCAGACTGGAGAAACATATCGGACCCGACCTCCGATAAAAATGCCTCAGAGAGCAATGTTGTTGGAAGAAGTAGGTGAACGGATCCGAACGAAACGGAGATCGTCGGACTAGTGGGTTATAGTTTATTTAAAGCTTTACAAAACTATTTTGACGGAAGGCGTCGGAGAGCACCCAAATAATTGGGTTTCCTGCTTAACATAGGCAATGGTACCTCTAGTTCTATCGATATTCAAAGGCTTAATTAACTTTATACTAGAAAAACAATGATGAAATATTTATTGAAAACTCATTTAACATATATCGTTATGTTTCTCATTGGGTTCCTTATTGGTCACTGATTGCTTCTTTGTAAAATGAAGCACACATTTAACTGATGAATAACATTTGTTAGCCAATATATTTTGTTCAACAATTATTCCCAGCATCTTTTTTATTGGCACTAAAAACAGTCAGAGATATTTTGGGGAATATCAATAGGAGGACCAAGACAATCGACTTGCACTGCTTCTGCACTTTCATTCACTGAGAAATATCATTCAGAGAGGACATTATTGTAGGAAGTAGCATGGTAGCATGTACTCATACTTCGGATGATTTTAAATTTAAAACTGATAGTTTTACTGTGATCAAATCCACACACAGTTCAAAATATAAATACATTACCACCGTTACATTTCAGTTTGTTTTATACTTTTGGTTATAGTCAGTCAACAGTCCCTTCTTAGTATTAGGAAGATTTTAGATTTTCACTGGAGCCGGTTTTTAAGTGTTCTTATGATTTAGAAAAATAAGTGTGAAAATTTGAAGTGTTAAAATCTACAGTTAGGATGGACTATCTTACCATTGGAGCTGACGGCCCAGGCCACGGCAGGTGCCACACAGGTCTCCCAGGCGGTGGGCATGTCGGAGCCATGACATGGGGCCCCGGGGTGGCGGGGGTCTGAGTAGGCCTCCAGTTGGGCCCCTCCGGCACACGAGTACAGCAGCATGTGATGCACAAGGCCCTGTGACCCTGCAGAGATGATCGGCTCATACTGTAAACACATAATAAAATTTTTTTTTAAACTACTGGGTTGTTTTGTGGATAGGTTTACAGCTAAAAATATTGAAAACCATTTCTAGTTTTGGTTAAATAATAATAACTATAAGCCTCATTATCATTGCATGCACTATGCAGCACAGAATTGTTAGCATGATGTAAAATGTCACACTTTTTTAAACTAGTTTATCTAAAACAGTATCTTGCCTACCAAATAACAGTATCCACACAACGCTAATGAGAACACTGTTAACTGTGGCACTGCAATACTCTATGTGGAAGCTAAATGAACTTCTTCAGCTAATGAAGGTGTATCAGTTTGGCATCACAAGATCAGCATATCTAACACATAAGATTAGCTGTGAAATGCACTCAAGAGGATGTAGTTCGTGTATTCGTTACGTTACACATCAAGTTAGTACCAGGTGGCGAGTTTCTTTTCATGTAAGCATCTAAAATTCAAATAACCTCAAAAAGCAAGTAACATACAGTTCCATATAGGAAAAACAAAAACTTAAACAAGTAATACTTACACCAATTATGTGTCTCTTCCCGTTCATTGAAGGAATTTTGAATATTTTACACCAGTACATTGTGTCCATGTTTTCCGGTACTGAAAACTATGAAATAAAATTAATACAGTGATTTTGAAATATAATTCAGCAATACAAAATACCTATAGATCTAAAAATAATTACTATCTTAAACAAAGGATAAACTTTATAGTTAGTATTAGAATAAAAATGGGTGTTGTTGAGCCAATTATGTGCTGATGTAAATTATTACAGATTTTTTTAATGCGTCAACTTTTTAATCAAGCCACACTAAAATAAGGTGAGCTATGGAATATTCTATATTCTATATTAAAGCCCCACAAATAAAAATATGGCTTATTGCATTTTATTTACCAGGTAATTGGTTAAATGTTTCTTTAAGTTGATTGTTGAGTTATGCTTACTCTGTGAGTGGCACATTCAACTTTTGTTTTTGATTAAAGTAAGGTTACAGCTGGGCCGTATACTTCGGATGTTTACTTCAGTTGAGTAGTATCATTGACTATACGTTGAGACTATACATTCTAGTCAATGGTAGTACAGTATATGCTTTTGTGTTTTGTTTGTGAACTTTCGACACTTCTGTTCAGGCAAGAATAGTTCTTATAGGGATCTGACGATGGCTTTTGCACCGAAATAAGCATAACCCAGTAGGAAAAATTTTGTCCTTAATGTAACACAAGGTAATTTAACCTTTTGTTTGTCAATTAACTGGTCCAGAAACACTAAACTTATAAGGAATTAAAATTTCTACTTTACTAGCAAAAAGTCACTTTTCACATTTCACTTTACAAAAACAGCTACATGTTTTCTGTATATAGATGCAAAGTGAGTAGGGTGGTTTGTTACTGAGACAGGTCAGCTGTTAGCCAGGACAGGTGACAGGACCATTTCATATACTGTAATAGTAAAAGCCCAACAACCAAGGAGGGAAGGATCCAGTTGTCAACCTTCTAAAAGCTTTTCTTAGTAAAAGTCAGCATCCTCCTGAATTTCAGGCAAGCACTATAATCATGCAGCTAATCAATAAGATTTATGTTCCATTAAAAATAATTAAATATACAGTACATACAGCAAAGATAACACACATCCTTTGTAGCTCCACAGAAAATAGGGATATTTTTACTATTAACTACGAATAAGGAATTTTCGTAATGAATGTGATGGTTATTTTCTTATCAAGTGGTCATAGTGGACTTACATTGTTGAGCAGGACGTCCCACTGTTTCACATGGGGTATGTTGGCGCCTTTGTTTGTATGGTTGGTACCACTGATGAGGTGGACACTGCGGGAACCACGGTGCAACTTATCATGCCACTCCAGCACTCCTGACTCCTGCGGGTCCTTCGAATGCCAGGCCCAGATAATCCTTTCTGTGTCGTTCTGTAAAATGGTTGGAGATGAGAATTGATTCTGGTAAAAAGGTAAATAACTTGTAGCGAGTGTTTGAATTTTGTAACTTTAAGAGATTTTGATGAAAAGGGAAAGAGCTTGGAAATAGTTTACCTGAGAAAATTAGAAGCTCTGCGTATATAGAGACACCAAAAGATTATACTATAGGTCAGCTGGGCAAATAGCGACGAGTATTTATCAAGTATGTAAGAGGAGGTCACTTACTATAAGCTTACTATACTACTAAGCGACCGACCTATAAAATTCTCATCAATATAATCTCTGAAGTCCCAATAAACTAAGACAATAGCTTTATTTTGTTGAGTAACCTTTTGTTTATCAATAAGCCTTAAAGCTCTAATTTTTTTAAAGATGATTCTCTAGTTAAATCCGAAATTTCTCTAAAGCTGAATTCAAAGCTCTATATGCCGTAAAGCCCAGATCAGCTTATGCTATTGAATCAGTGAAATCCACCAGTAAGAGCTATTAAAGGGCAACCGCATTGCCATATGTTTCACTCTTTATATGTGACTAGAACAGCTGTTTTAGTATGCAATTAATTAATAAAAATTATTCGTCTGTTTAAGTCATCAAAATATTTTCTTCATAAGAAATAAACTGCAATTTTGATGATGGCCTGTGGGGCAAAGCCCGAGGAATTTTATCGCAGGAATTGGTGAAAGGAGGCGTCTACACAACAAATACTTAATTTTGACACCTCATTTGTAAAAATCTGTCCATTGTTAATGGAAGAGTAGTGTTTTGTAGAAATCGTCTTCAGTATTATAAGGATTGGGACACTCTGCCTTGAAGCTATGAAACATTTTCTGTCATTTCTCCACTTCTAGTAACTGCAGGTATCACTTTAGAGCGAAATTGGATGGTGGTGTTTGAAGAAATAAGAGTTTGGTTATTTTCCATCCGATGAGTAAGCTAAGATGAGTTATTCACCCCCAGTATTTTGTCATGCTGATGGTCACAGGTGTCCCAAGCCCTCTGGAACCTGATTACAGTGTGTGTCGTGTTCTGATGTCCTCCAAGCAACTCGTAGTTTTGTGAAGTGTCCAACACAGGTGCTCCGTTCCTGGAAGTACCATGGTAGTCCTACAACAATGAAGTAAAGTTAGGTGAGTTTGAAATTTAAATTATTCTGAAATAATCTGGTTGTATAGCTGAATTTAGTTTAAAATCATCATAACGTCATTGTCTTCAGCTTGACTTGACCAAGACTATTGATTAAAATCATAAAATGTTATTTAAAAATAATGGTTTATGCTTAGCTTCAAACTTATTTTGGATCGCCAATAAATGATCCTTATTAATTAATTGGGAGGCAGTTAATCATAAACCCCTTCTCTGCACAAACTGTTTTTTTTTCATTTATTAAGAAAATTCCAGATGACGGAAATTGATTCGTGATCGATAAAAGTGATTACACCATGGTTTGATAGGATGCTACAAATCATAAAGCGAACTTATCACTTTTTCATGACTCTACTAAACCCACTAAACAAAATGAATTTAAAGGTTACTAGGATGAAACTAATGTACACCTGCAGAGTATTTTCATACATTTTTTTATTGGATCTCGCGTAACAGGGCTTTGAGAGAAAAGTTAATTGACAATTAATTACAAAGACTGAGTTTCTGTGTGTGAGTTTCACCTGATTCATGTAATTGTACAAAGCAAAATTCGTTAGGAACTTCCCTAAAGCAACTCTCACAAAAGTATAAGTTCAACTCTATTCAAGTTTCATAAGTACAATTTATTTGTCAGGTAAAAATTTTTTTTCAAGTTAAGCTCTAATGCAAACCCAATAGTTTGTCTAAATTCCATTAATTCATTTAGTACATAAGTTATACGATTTTAGTTAGGTTTATAGTTAACTTCAAACAAGTTTAGCTTAAACATGGTTTATAGCATGGGGGGGCCTCCTGCCTGCATTACTTTTAGAGCATAATAGGTTAAATTGGCATTACAAAACCTGCAATTGATTGAATATGTTACCAAGTGCAGATTTTATAATGCAATTTTTTTGTAGGCTATCCTAATCAGACTTGGAAAATTTAAAGTCGGAAATTGAATACTAAACAAATGAAGATTTTTATGAAATTTCTGAAAATTTTCTACGAAAATCATATATTGAGGTACCTATAATAACCATGTTTTTTTATTGTATATTTTATACTTATTTCTTCTAAGTTGAATTTAAATTACATATAGCCTTATAAAGGTCAGACTGCATAAGTTTCATTTAAATAATCGTGCTAAAAGTCGTCTAGTCTATAAAATAAAATAAATAACATAATTCACTTCATCTAGGATATAAAGTTGCACTACTTTATTTTCTCCCACCGGTGTCCAGGGCTACTGACGAAAATCCTGTAAACTATAAATGCACCAAATGCATTGCCTCCAGCCCCAAACCTCTGCTACAATTCCAAGGTTATTCTACAAACTGGTTTCATCCAATTAATTTGGTTGCTCGGCAGTGGTGGCGGTAAGTGAACAGATTAATTATAGTACACACCGCGTCCGGTCGCCCGCCAACTCATTATCGGACGTTTCTTCTTCTGCTCACTCGGGAAAGGATTTACGACCCCGAAGATGTCCTTTTTTCAGGAGAAATAGCTGAAAGTCCGACTACAAACTTGTTTGGTAAAACTCACCGCCTACGTTCGACCTAATGAGATTGGAAACTACGGAATTGAAAGAAGAAAATTAATTGACAGATGTAATCGGTGCTCTGTACAATTTAGAGGTTATGTGGAAAAATGCGGAATGTTGTGAGAACAGCGGTGTTTTAGTAATGGCGTTCGGTAAAGAGGAATGTTACTGTCTAATTGTAACTCGGGTAAACATTTCATGTGTGTAGTTGTATGTCGTTGATCGAGGTTTTTCTTTCTTTCGTGTTAAACATTTTGTGTTTATAAAGGTTTCCGTGAATGCTATGTGTGACTTTAGAAATCACAAATGGATTAGTTTTTAAAACTCTACCATGTTGCTAACAATTAGTGCATTGTCAAATTTGGAGTTTTACTTAAAAATAGTTAGACAGCATCTTTTAAATGATACAAGATTGCACTCAAGATTCCATTTTCCCATAAATGGCCCTTAAAGGCCTGTGAGCGGGTTGTATCAAGAAAATGGAGCGGTGAGTCGTTACAGGACAAAATTCAATAAACGGTACCATTGACGATACTGGAACTGATTTTAAATATCGGTTCCAAGAATTTATAAACTTCTACAATATTGTGGGTTTCAATCCACGATTCGTCAAGACTCAAGCTCCCGACTGAGCACCAACTCACACACACTTGATATAATTTATATCCTCTAACAACAAATTAGAGTGCAATTCCCGTTGTCTTTAGGTTGTTTATTGATACGGGGATATTTCTACACTTACATCAGTAGTATAAGGGTATAACTGTTATTAGGAAATATGTTTGTTTGTAGCCATGATAACACACAGCCCCTTTCTCCTGTGATTGCGAACCTCTTCATGTTTGAAATAGGTTGATTTTTGTCCGAATTATGGCCCTTTTATCTCTCACAAACGAATGTGGATTTAAATAAATAATATTTTTGGCTTCAGGGAACCTTAAAGTAAAGTTTTTATATACAACACTTAATTATTTCATTCTTACAGATTGAAATTTACCAAGTAAGTACTAAGTAGGTACCAAGATTACATTCAAAAGTTACTATACGTGTCCAAATTGGCAAAGCACCATATTTTCGAAGCTGTATCTTTTTCACACTTAGTTTCTTTCTAATTAATTCAATGAACTACTTTGTTGCACAATATGTACCAGTACCATTATTTTATATTGGATCACTTCATCAACTATGCTAGCGACGTAGCCTACTTCATGTGTGTTATAGGTTGAATATGGAGTGTATAGGCTAGTTGAGTGTACTTAGGAGTGTATAGATCGGTCTAGCTTTGTTACTGACCGAGATGAGCGTGTTTCTTTAGCCAGCCAGGATCGTTTATAAAAGCCTAAATATCAAGATCAGTCATTTAGTCAGTAAAAAATAAATGTAAATAAATCAAATGTTCAGGTACCTACAAACCAGCGATCTTCTGATACGCTGAGCGAGGACAACTACTTGGCTACCCGGCCAGTGAGATAGCTAATACAAAATTTAAAACAGTCCAAGTTTTTAAATTTGGACTAAGTAAGTCTGGGGTATTGCCATTCTCGAGCAATTTCATTGCCCAAAGACCGTATCCTTGCAGCGGTGCCAGTTCTAGACATGATTCCAGATATTTCCTTCACGGCTGTCGCACCACCTCCACCTGGTTCCCTTTGTCGTGGACCCTGTGGCAGCTGTCTCCTCTCTGGCACGTGCCCGCCACGCGCAGCTGCCAAGCATCTGCTCCTTATCCTACACCTCCTAGAGCTGAGGACGTTCCGCTCGGGCGGCCCAGGATCCTCACAATCCATCACCACCTTGCTATTCCCGCGATGTATGACTTGTGAACCGTTGTTTGAGGTTTAACGGTCGTTTTGTAGCTTAATGTTTTCGTAAGTCTAAAAGGTGGACTAAAGATCCATCCCCTTCTAGATCTCATTCTGGTGATATTTAATCTCAGGCAGTTGTGTATAAAATATAACAGTCTTTTCGTAAGGTTTATTTGTTTGCTAGCGTGTCGTGATATAAGTGTTTTATGATCATCTCAAGCAACAGTTGTGTTTAAACGTGTATACTTTTGTCACTATGATTAAATAACTTATTTATCAGCATTGTAAGTGCTATTAAATTTACGGAAAGTAAATAAAAGAAACGTCTTATAACACCTTAAAACATATATTTACGCTTACTGTTCCTTACAAGACGGTAAATATACAAAACAAATGGTAAGAGGTGATCATTTCGATTGGACACTCCAATCATCATCAGACCCATCTTTTTCTTACCATTTTTTGTATATTTACCGTCTTGTGAGTAACAGTATGAGCGTAAATATAAGTTTTAAGTGTTATAAGACGTTTCTTTTATTTACTTTTACTATGATTATCTCGTTACTCGTATGGATACAGTACGCAGTGATGGAAAGGTGTTGAAGACAATCTAACTAAAGCTTTCTAGCTATCGTTTCGTTCGTGAGGCAGTTTGTATAATCCTAAGCAACCGTTGGTGTAAAACTCTCCCTAAACCTCCATTACCATAGTCTGATCATGCTGGTTCGCGAACTCGTTTGAATAAATGTAGGTGTACATGTTTATATCAAATTTCATCAAAATCTGATCATCTTTGCTCGAGTTATCGTGCTAACGGACTGATATGTATAAATTTGAACGGATGGTGTTTTTGGCCTCTAGGGACCTCAACACGAAAAAGTAAATTTGTCCCGGTTCCAGGTCGTACCATGAGTACTACGGAATAAGCTTATATGCTATCTAGGAAGTTCGCTAATAACTACAAACTAAAGAAAAACATTAAACTTTTAAGTGTTGTAAATTTCAGTTTTTTTATTTGAAGATTTTTAGGAACCATTAACCGAGTCTCCTAAGAACTGATTGCTTTTCGTCTAGAGCAGGTAGATGTACCAGGGGCGGACCCACGGTTGGTGTTCCCACGGCAGTTTGAAGATTTGCCAGGCACGTCGCTTGGCTGGAAGACGTTCACATACAGAGAAGTAACAAAAACACGACGAGGTGACCCGCGGTGGCGGCAGAATATTCACACGTCGACGGTTGAACAAATATTTCTATATTTTATTTGGAAGCAATTGCAATTAGAAGCATGAGTCTGTCTACTGACCCAAATCTGAAAATGAAGGCACGATAATGTCTAATGGTATCAGCTAGTTAAAAAAAGTGTGGTTGATGAAACTTTAAACTACTAAACAAAAGGAAAACATGCAAATCATACAACTGTATACAAAAATTACAGCTCCGGGATAGGGTGCAATCATTGGATAAACTTGCAAAGCGCAGTAAGATCAGATACAATGTTACTACTGCGACTGCCAGGCCTTAGCGCCTGTGAAGGGTTGAGTTTGTTGTGGGAGTCATTGTGTACAAGTAGCATTTGAGATAATTAAGAGCGGAAGTGAGACACGTTTCCTGCACCTGCGTCTGCGTCGCCGGAAACTGATAAGTACGCCACCTGTCTGACATGGTCGGTCGAGTGTGCGAGTCTACGCCACTGTGGACGTACTTGCTTCTCAATACTTCAACAAGTTTTAAATTGAAGTCTTATAAGGGTACGTTGTCACTGGTGCGGCTGGAACTGCAGTCGTTGGACGATCATCGTTGGACGATTATCGCTCGGCAATAATCGTTGCAGAAGGCATTGTCACTGGTGCAATTATTATTCAATCGTTCAGTTAATGCCTGTTGCTGAGTTGAAGTAGGAATAGTGAATTATTAGTTAATAGGCTCTAAAAAAATACTATTAATTTATTTGCTAGTTGAACATCTAGAAGATGGGGAAGATGGAGAAATTTTGGAAATGATAAGGGTTTCAAGACTTAGCACACATAGTATAATTACAAAACGAACAGAAGAGGGGTACTTCAAAATATTAATAAACAATCATTTGCAAGCTGATGAGAGAATGTTATCTGAGTTCTTCAGACTTTCAAAATGTCAGTCTAACTTTTTGTCTAGTTTGATCTATGAGGATTTTAAGAATACTTCTTAAAACAACATTCCCTATCCAACAGGAGATGAGAAGTTTGCTCTTTCGTTAAGGTAGGATAGTTTATTTATAATAGATACATTTTTGTATTGCTAACAAACGAATAGAACGACTGCAGTTCCAGCCGCACCAGTGGTAATGCACCTTTTTATCTGCAGTCTGCTCCTCATTTAATGGATTTTTTCCGTGGGAGCCTGAACATTTAGAACAGCCCCTGTCTACTAGAAGGATCCGGAAGATATAGAGCAAATTCATATGAACCGATTACCAACGATAAGCACCGTCCAGAGTCGTTCAACTCGCCAAGCGTCTAACTGTCTTATCTGCCTGTTCGTACCTAAGCACTGATGTGTGACCACTTCAGCGAACACAGATTCTTCACAGAACTTTCATAATATTTGAGAACATCAGTCTGCAGCATTGATAATTTGACATGCATAGAATAGGAAAGGAAAGACCTTTCAAGGCAGTCCAAAACTGTATTCAGGCCTACCTCCTTTTAATCAAAGAAAAGTTTTAATTTCCTCTAACTTTTATCGTGCTATTAAACAAAATAAATTATCCCAGGTCTAGTGCAGAAGGTTTCCCAATGCAGGGACATTTTCTCCTCACATATCCTTTTTGTTTTTTTGACAGGGACCGACAGCGGGATTGAAACCAATGAGTTAAAATAATTAAGACAGGTATAATATCTACTGGTGTTTGGTAGGAATTGAACCCGGATACCAGAACATAGGAACCGTACCGTATTCTACACTATTTGTTCCTCTATAACTCGGAAAAACAAATAGCAAATTACAGACCATTGATTAATGAACAGCCGTGGGTCAACTAATTATAACTTCATGTTATTTTACTATAAGAACTGACAAACCAGTAAATTAGATTCCCGGAAGGTTTTCTCCGATTAATGATGTGAAAGGATGTTGCGAATGTAGCTTACACCGGTTTTCAAACATTGGATAGACAGCGCGGTGTTATAGATGAGATCGGGGCTTGATTAAAATATTATCTAAAAACAGTTTTAATTATTCTTCATGGTCTTGTTTGAGATAATTTCCAGTTATACTAAATTGATTTTACAGTGTATCAACTTTGTATTACTTAATTATTCTAAAACTTAAGGTTATAAAAAACTTAAGTTTAAAACAAAGTTTAAGTTAAACTTATTAAAGTTATTAATGATATGCTGGTTTGACTTATTATAGATGTAACTGAACTACTCTCAGTATTAGCATAGTGTAAAGAGTAGCCAATTTAACTACTCTTCATTTTCTGGCAATGGTTAATCTAAACAACTACACACCCACTACCACACTACAGGTACTAATACCAAAACAGATATTTTTACTGTTTTTCCACTGAATTTCAACATTAAAAACGAAACTATTTGTTTTGGATACGTCTACTCTGCCCTCTTTAGACGATTTGATTGCTTAGTTTTAAAAACAAGAAAATTGAATGATACTTTTGCATCAGTTTCAAACTGACTAATACAACTCCAGCCTTGAACAACCCTTTCTTTCCCACCCTAATGTCTGAAACTCCCTCCAATCTCCCCTATTTTGGCGGGGCTTTGCTCAACAGGTAACGCACGAGAGCCTGACAAGTTTCGTTTGCTGGTGCAAATATTACACACGAAGTAATTATGCATGTTACCTCTATATGTACCATAATTCATACAGTTCAAAATGTCAATTTTGTTTAACTATTTTTAAAACATTTTTTCGTTGGGGATTTCAATTTGTTTGTTAGGGAAATTAGGTAATACAAACTATATTTTTCATTCAAAATACAATATTTGTAGATCGATAAATGTTATAAACAATAACTTATGTTAAAATTCAGTGAATAACTGCAACACAAACGTTGCTGCAAAAAGTAAAATGTCAAGTCTTATCTATCAATAAATAAACCCCTTTTTGGCTCACCATGATTTGTACTGTATGTAAGAGAATTATCCACATTAATTTAATATTATCGATAGATAATGTGGTTTATTGTAAATATTAGTATCATAAGAGGCTAAGTAGGTAAGTAAAAAACTTTATCCATCATCTTGGTTGTGTATCTTTGAAATACTGTAGTTACTATAACTTCTAATTATATGTCAGCAATATTCGATTCTTCGACTTAATAAGAAATAGTAAGAATGCAATTTTTCACATAAACGAGAAAACGTCGATTATATCGTCATTATATATAATTGAGTAGTGAGCGTATGAAATGGATTCAACTTAATTAATTTGCTTTTACTCACATAATATATAACAAGACCGAAACAAATATCAATGTGTTTTAACTAATTAAAGAGTGATCTCATTTTCATCTGCCATTCCTAGAAAAATGATTCAGATTAACGAAAACACGAAGTAATCCTTGTTATATTTCTGTTGCGTTTTCGTGGAAACCATTGGATAATTTGTCATTTCATTTGCGTGCATTCAAAGTACTTCGTTTTAGATTCGCACTATTTACCTATTTTTCTTTCGAACCTCCACTTAAACATTATTCGTTTGTCAGTAACTTAAATACCAGATAAATACCAGACAACACAGACTATTAAGATTATCCTTGATTTTAACAATTTATAATCTTTAACACAACAACAAAACAGATATGTTTAATTATCAATTAGTATAAGCTTGAAACGATACTGTTGGTTTGTATTGATATTTTAGTGGTATGTGTAACGGAATTTAATACTATCAACAGGAACACCGGTCCTGTGCAAATTCAAATAATCGATACAAGTTATTAAACACAGTGTGTATTGAGTATATACAAGATAATGGATAGCTAATGTGATTTATTACAATGTTATAACAAATTATAAATGATATACAACTCATTTAGTTTTATACACCGTTGGATATATTGCGACGAAACACACACACTACGACACTTAACAGATAAATGAACCACTTACCAACAAAAACACTTTTTGACTGTTATCCTCCACCCAGCCTATGACCAGGTCTGCGCCCCGCATGCTCCCGTCTCTGGAGAAACCGATCCCGACGTATCCCGTGGTCCTCGCCTCAACTTGGAACTCCACCCTCTCCGTCCTGGGCGTCCAGGACAGTCGGACGTCCCCTTCGGGGCTCAGGTCAACCGACGACCTCCACGTCGCCGACCTCACCACCGCCACGCACACTATCACTCCCAGCCACTCGGTAGTCCACATGCTCGACACCGACTGAGCCGCGAGCCGGTGGGGCGAAGCCCTGACACCTGGAGCGGTGAGTCATTGGAGGGGAGTGCTTTGTGATGTTTTGGCGCGATACCCGGTTTACATTGTTATGCGTAATGTTGAGAAATTCGCAGAGGGATTCAAAGGGTCGAAGGGTTTGTGAAGTCATCTTCAACTTGTATCTTGCTTCGAAATATCCCGGGGTAGTTCTTATATACATTGGAACAATTGAGAGGAATACAAATATAGAATAATTATAATGAATGGCCCGAGTGGTTAATTCATGATTGCTTATTATAACTGATTAATTATAATCGATTTATGACAGGGTGGTTGAAGACCAACACCAAATGTGTTAGATTTTTAATAGGCTTCCTCAGGATGCACAACTGTTCCATTTCAATCACTTCAAATCAATAAGTTAAAACTTTACATTTAATGTGGATATTACAAAATTTGTTTATAGAGGTTTCGTAAAAAAATCACAGCTTGTAAAACCAACAATGCTATACAAAATCTATTAGCAGACGGAGTGTAGAGAAAGAATCACTAGATTCAGTGGTACCAAAAACCAATATCAGTTAAACGGCTAAACTAAAAAACGGCTAATTCTATAAAAAATTTCAAGAATACTTTTTAAGAATTTTTAGCCTTCTGTCAAACGATACCAAGATCACAAATATCGGGCGACAAATAACTGAAGTAGAACGTTTTTTAGCTGTAAGACCAAGAAAAAGTAAGGGTTCCCCGACTAACTTTGCCTTATTTTTACACAAAAAACTTAATATTTAATTATATTTTGTCCGGTATTTTTTATCTTGGTATTATTTGATAGGGAATTTAAAATTCTGAAAAAAGTATCCTTAAAATTTATTCATAGAAATAGCCGTTTTTGAGTTATTTAAGTTATAAAAATTCAAACGGCCGCCATTTTGAAATTTACAATCTGACCAACTTTATTTTTTTTTCTATAATAGGACTTCTGTATGTTAACATGGTTACCAAATTTAATAATCATCGAATGAAAAACTTCACAGATAAAAATATTTTTGTATAAATATCCAAATGGTGGATAACTGGGTAAATATGCATTTTCTGAATTACCTTAACAAAAACTTTTTCTTCCTCTTAGTATGAGGATTCATTTCCCAAAGTCCTGAAACGTTTTTTATGGACACCCGTCTGTATAAATTTTAACGAACGGTGTTTTTGGTTTCTAGGGATCTCAAAACGAAAAAGTAAATCGGTCCCAGGTCTAGGTCTTACCATGAGACCTAAGGTATGAAGCCATGTGGGAAATTCGCTAAAATCAAGGTGGCCTACAGATAACATACAGACTGTGTGTAACAACACAAGAGATTTTATATTATTCAGCTCATTCTAGGGAATTTTCCTAAGCCAAATAAAGCCAACATTGTAGTCAATATGTAGAAAATTATATCTAATGTTTGATAACACTATTTAGCCTTTACTCAGATGAAACGGTAGATCACAATGACACCTTGAGTCCTTTTATACCTAAGTAAATACTTGTAAAATAAAGTAAATACTAAGTAAATCCATTGTGTCCATGAGATACAAATGTCTAATAACTGGTGGTTAGCTGGTAGGCGGGTAGGCTGTGCTGGATGGACCAGACAGGTCGGACGGGATGCTGGCGGACTACCGCTCCTCAGGAAATGCTTGAGATAATGTGCTGTTCAGGGCTGATTACAACCTTCCGGTGGTCTTAGATCGGATACGATCCGTTAGCCATCGAGAATACACTGGAACTAATCACAGAGTAATATGTGGCAATTTGCAACAAATTAAAAGCAGTTTGCTTTTACAGCAATATGTTTACCTCTAGTGGAGAAGTTTGTACTAATATTGTTTGTGTAACTTGTATTGTTAAGAAGATAAGTTGATCCATTTACTCAGGCTGGTGATACAGATTCGGGCTTCAAAGCGAAAATATTTTTCGGGACATTGTACAGGGTGGACGTGAAAAACATAACTATGCCACTACTAAGAAACTATTAGACGTAGAGAAAATTGGGGGAGTTCACCAATAAAAAAATATATACTCCATTTTTTTATAAATGACTTTTTTGATTTTTTCAATATGATGACTAAGTTTAAAATGTCTTATGGAGCATTCTGTATTTTATATATTTTTTAGAATTAGAATGCGATCGTTAGACTTTTTTACCGATGAAATTTCTTCGTTTAGGAGCTAAAATAGCGGAAAAGGTGACTCTTATTGTATATTTATCACACAAAAATACTCTGCGAGCCACATTTTTCAATGTTTAACATGTTGTAGCAAAATAACATAATCATTCATCGTTGATCCTACAGTAAGTCTGCAAAATCTGAATACTATAATATATTAATAATGTATAGGCTATCATCTCAATTATTTTCTTAAGGAACATGTCGGTCTTAGTCAGAAACAAGACTACAAATTCGCGCCACTCATCCTACACTCATCTCCATTCATTCTTGGCAAACCTACCTTCGTATGGTCACCATTTCAATTAAAAGTATTAAGTATACTGGCCAAGTCGTTAAGGGTATAAAAATAGCTCTTGCCTAAAAGTCAGACATTTTTTCAGCTCAATCCTAAGAAAAGTAATTGTTATGCAATTAAATTGAACCATGCTGTCCTTAGCCTATTCATTGGGCTTTTTGGCAAATGGATAATATGGCTGAAGAAAACGCTGGTCTTTAAGTATTGAGCAATAAAAAAAATAAAAGTGTTTCACTTTATTCAATACTCGTCATTTACTTTTATAAAGTTTAAAATGAACAGCGTTTTCTCAGTTCTAGGATGATTTTAATAAATAATAATAATCTTTTATATTTTAAAAGTTTTGGTATTTCTTTTCCGAGTTCGTTTGGCTCTTCTACCCAACCGATTTTCATAATTGAGGTATCAAATTGAAAGTATGCACGCACCAATTTTACATCAAGCATCGGCAAATATTTATCTACAGTCCTACTCGGCTTATACGTAAACGAAGTTTGCTTCCCATGTATTTCTTATGGAAGTTAAATTTGGTTTTTCTTTTCAGACTAAAAAACATAAATTCTGATTTATTTTAGAAATCTTTCTTAATTGTAAACTCACCTCACAATATTCATTTTGGGCTAGGCCTCTATAAAAGTTTAAAGTTAATAAGTTAACAAAGACATACGAAGTACAAAAGGTGTTTTATTGCAACGAATGAACAAACATGCAATGAAATTTAAAAGGATAACGTTATAATGAAAGGGCTGACAATGGTGTGTGGGGGTTGAAATTAAAATGAAATAAAAGATAAGTTTGAAATAAACGTTCAAATAATTTAGATGTGCTATATCTCAGGGTAGGGTGTCGTGCTGGCTTGAATGCTAAGAATTAGTAAATTAAATAGTGTCCAAATAGGCCTAATTAAGGTGTTAAACTTACAAAATCCCAACAATGAAAAAATCTAATTTTGATGTTGTCCAAAAGGTAAGTCCAATTAGCACTAAATTAAAAAGAGTTTAAAAGAAAAGTTTATACTTAATTTTGAAAATAACAATGATGGAGTTGAGTCCTCTTGAGGTTTACTGTGATATAACTTGATATAAACTGGTTTTCTTGATGATATTAAATAATTTAATTTAGATACAATCTGGAATCCTTCTTTTAACTAACAGTTTCAACTTCCACTCTGGCTTCTTTCTCTCTCCAATCTCAATGTTCACATAATTCATTGTTGAACACATGGATCACTGTTTCACTGCTTCTTGAATTTTGATTCCTTAAGGACTAATTTTTAAATTATACACCGTGTCCCAAAAAAAACTGAACAATTTTAAATTGTTATACATCACGGAACAGCATTCGAGCCTGGTATGACAAATTTATGTTAACTGGAAGCTTACAACATTTAAAAGGTAAAGGTAGGCCGAAAATCCAAAATGAATTGATTGAAAACGTGCAACAATTATTTCTTCACGACCCTCGAAAGTCTGTTCGCTGTGCAGCATGTGAGTTAAATTTGTCAAAATTATAAGTTTATAAGACAGAAGTTTCCGATGTCCGAGAATTGAGGCAAAGAATAAATGCAGCCTTTACTAACATTACTGACAAAATGCACCATAGAGTGTGGACTGAATTGGAAAGCCGTATTGACTATCTTTTTGCCAACAATGGGAACCATGTTGAAAATCATTAACACATATGATATCAAACAAAACTTAGGAATATTTGTGTCAGTTAAAATGTAATTAGTTTATCGTGTGATTGTTAATAAACTTTTTATAAGTAAATAAAATTGTTCAGTTTTTTTTTGGGACACGGTGTATTATAAGAAATTTTATTATTATTATTGCAATTCTCTTACATATTGAATAAATAACTAAGTTGTGGACTTTGTAAAAAAATATATAGGCTATGGAATGAATATTATTAATGATTAATTGAACAGATTAATGAAATTGTATAAATTAGGGAAATGAATACTAGGCCAGCCTTTCTGAGGAGTGATTAATAACAAAGGTGTATGAACAAAAGTTAACATTTTAAGAAACTTAATACTAAATAATGAATGAAATGAAATGAAATATTACATATTTCACCAGTTATAATTATATAATCCTATATATTTTAGTCTAAGAATCTTCAGTGAAATACTGGCTTTCACTTAAGCTAAATAAAAAAAATAAGTTATCAAGTGGCCACGATGAAGTTCCTTTAAAGTTAATTAAAAATACAGTAAAACCCTTGTTAAAGCCATTAGTTCACTTAGTTAACAGTTCCTTAATAACCGGAGTTTTTCCTCAAAGTTTAAAAATGTCCAAAGTAGTGCCCATTTTTAAGAAGGGTGAAAAAACTGAAAGAAGTAATTACCGTCCTGTTTCTGTCTTACCTGCTATTTCAAAAATATATGAGCGGGTGATGTATAATAGATTGTTTGAGCATTTACAAAATAATAACCTTTTAGACGAAGAACAGCATGGTTTCCAAAAAGGAAAATCAACCA